CTGATGAATTTTTGTGTGTCACCCCATGTAAGCAAAGCCAAAGAACTGGTCCTTCACATTCCAGGCTGAGTTTGCAGGACTAGCAGCTAAAAGATCTTTTCTTGTAAACTCAATCAGAAAACAGCTGGAATGAGCTGAGACTAAGCATAGACCCCACCAGCTAGTTTTTTACCAAATTATTTGACAGCATAACAGTGTAAGGAATGGTTGATAGCAGGAGGTGGGATGTGGGGAGAGAAATGTGCATTATCCAAAGGCTGCAGGGGAGAGAATGCAATACCTTGGACTAGTTCCCAAGGATTCTATATGAATTCCCAAACAGAAAAATGACCAGGGAGTTAAAGTTGAGCATAAATATCTGTAAAACATGAGTATGCACCTAATACGTGTTGAAATGATTCCCAAAACCAGCGCGTTCTGTTACGCTGAAGAAATACACAATGTAGGCTCTCAAACAAGCCTCATTCTTCCCTTAGTGAGACGGTGCAGTAGCCTTTAGGATTAATGTATGTTCACTTTTTCAGCCCCACATTAAATTAAACTGATATTTAGAGATTTTATTTTTGATAGTTTTCTACATGTAGCATCATTCCTAGAGGCAGACTGGGTGGAAGGGACAATCGGTAGATGGAGAGCAAGATTATGGCTGAAGAGGCGGGAAAAGCCTTCTATTAGTGTGTCAGGGTGGCTGAGCAGGGATGCAGGGGAGTTCAGTGGCTGTATTGAGTGGTTGGCTGGAGATGTAGCTGGACTTGGTATAGGGCACCGGGCTCTGCACTCATCTGCGGTGCAGGGCTCAGCTCTATTGCACAGTGAGTCAGCACAGCAAAGGGAAACCTTAAGGTTCAGTGACATTAGCATTTAGGGCTAGTCTCATTCCCCTCTGCAGAACTCTGTGAGAGCGCTTTAGCAGAGGGGAAGAAACACAAACTAGCTTGTAACACTTTCCCATAGCTTCAGCAGCTTTGTAATAGCAGCCAACACTGAGCCATGATGCTGTCTTTGTACAGGAGGAAAGGCATCATTTGGTAAAATGGCTGTTTCTTGATACATGTCTACGGTCAGACTAATCCATGAATTAGCACAGCTGGTTTAGTTCTGAACAGGTTGTTTAACTATAATTGGAAAAAGGTAGGGGGAAGTGTTTTAGTGCCCATTTGCTGCTTCCTTGTAATGCAGAAAGGAGATGCAGCTTTTTTTAAAGAGCAAAAATTGTAATGTTTCTGTTACATTAGGGGCGAAAAAACCTCTTAAGATGTGTGTACACAAACTCCCAATCATAGGGTATGTCTAGACTACAGACTTTTGTTGACAGAGGCTTTGTCGACAAAGCTTCTGTCGACAAAGAGCATCTAGACTACGTCCAGTTCGGTCGACAAAGCAAGCCACTTTGTGGACATGACAGTGTAGACGCAAAGGACAATGTAGATTCAACAACACCTTCTGTCAACAGAACTCTATCGACAAAAGGCGTTATTCCTCGTAGAATGAGGTTTACCATCATCGACAAAACTGCTGAGTTTGTTGACGACAAGTCTATTTTTGTCGACAAAATCCTGTAGTCTAGACACACCCATAGAGGGTAAATGTGTGGCTCATAAAAAAGAAGAAAAGGGCAAGTTTCTTTTTTTTTTTCTTTGCAAACTATTTTAAAAGCAAGGCATGCAGACCAGGAGCTTGACTACTTTTATTCAGCCTATCAAGGCAATAAATTTATGTCTATACCCATGAAACCTTCACAAGTGTATGCTGAAAAATGTAAATGAAGCTTAATATTTTAATTATAGTACTTGTTATGAGAAGATGAACACTTTTATTTATGATTGCCTCTTGACATTTTGGTAAATAAGCATTTTAATGCTTTTATAATATAGGTTTTTTCTTCGAGCAGTGTACTGTGGGTGCTCCATTGTAGGGGTCAGGCTTGTCCCGGTACCGAGGATCAGAAATCTTTCCCAGCCGTAGTCCACCGGACCATGCATACACAATGCGCATGTCGTACCTTTCATGCTGTTTGCGTGCGCGTGATCCCGCTCCTGCCAGTTCCTCCTGACCAGCAGTGGATGGAGTGAACAGACACAGAAAAATTGTGGTTAGTTAGTTAGTTATAATAGTTGTTTACATAGTCGTAATCCTCCTTAGTTTTACTGTTCCAGTTGATATAGTTATTTAAAAAAAAATTGTTATAGTTAGTGTTTTTCTGAGGCGACACATTAGTCATTGTTTTTTTAATTTCAAACACATCTAGTCCGCTGTAGACTACAAGAGACGCCGATGAGTCATGCCGGGATCACCTGGATTTAAAAAGTGCGGTGCATGCTGTGAGCCAATACCCTCCTCAGAGGGGCATGCTCTATGCATACGGTGCCTCAGCGAGGGACACATAAGAACGTAAGAATGGCCATACGGGGTCAGACCAAAGGTCCATCTAGCCCAGTAGCCTGTCTGTCGACAGTGGCCAGCACTAGGTTCCCCAGAGGGGGTGGACTGCAGACAATAGTCAAGTGATTTGTCTCGTGCCGTCCTTCTCCAGCCTCTGACAAACAGAGGTCAGGGACACCATTTCTATCCCCTGGCTAATAGCCTTTTATGGACCTAACTTCCATGAAATTATCTAGCTTCTCTTTAAACTCTGTTATAGTCCTAGTCTTCACATCCCCCAGAAATGTCCCCATTGTTCTAAGCTTACAGCGCGAGCTATACGGGACAGGGAGATGCGGCTTAAAATGCTCGTGTTTACAAGGCATTACAAGAGACCGTCTCCTCCTGCCTAACGGAACCCATGAAAACCAGTAGACGCCGGCCCTCGTCACTTAAGCATACCCATGCAAAGAGGAGGCCTTCTCCTTCACGCTCCTTACCACTGACGCACGTTAGCACAGGGGATAAGCCAGGCACCTTGGGTACGTTTCCCACGCACGGACCCAATAAAATGAAGTAGGGCTGCAGCATATTGACACTGAATCCGCTGTCATCGAGGCATGTGGCACCGAAAATGTTGACAGTAGCTCACCTGGCACTGAGCCCTGAGCCGGCACCAATAGAAGCATCAGAACTAACAGCCATCTCAGCGCCAACAACCACCTTGGCACCGGCCATACAACTGGCATAAGTGCACCAACTGACATCGGCACTACCAGCACAGCTGGCACTGCCAACACACTCGGCACCGCAGTACAGCTCACTAGCGGCACCACCTCTTCACGCTGCAGTGCAGCCCGCACCCAGGAACATTTCAACCCAGGGTTCATCTTCACCCGAGCAATCTCAGGTGCAGATTAAGACTCGCCAAAAGCCCCATAAGTTACCCACACCTTCTCAGAGCCCACAGCAAATGCACTTCTCTCCAGAACCGCCTTCGCCATTTCCAGCTCATTCATTTTTGTCAAGGCACTCACTGGGACATCACACCACAAGGCGAAGTCATTATTCTCCTTATGCCTCACCTTATTATCACCATTGGCGCCAGCTCTCACCAGCATTGTCCACACACTCAAGGGGAAAGTCATGATCATGTAGATCCCCTACAGTCTCCAACTATTCAGGACACCATGGGACACATAGGCGCAGATACTTCTCCAGGTTACCATACAGCATGCACTATTACGATTGCTCTTCGAGGCCCTACTGTTACGATAGATATCGCTCACACTTGCCAGGACACATTACCATCACCGTCCCATCATCCGTCTCAACCTTCATGTACCAGGGCTCATTCATCTGTTCTGACCACAAGAAGACCACCTACCCCGACGGGAATTGACCCGTCCGTGCCACCTCATAGAGATCTGCAACAACAGCAGTCATCCGAATGTGAAGAACCACAGGGGCACTCACCCACTAACCAGCCTTCATCATCACCAGATGACACAGTCTTTCCAGGCGATGCATCACCAACTGATGACCTCTGCCAATTTCAGGAGTTGTTCAAAAGGGTAGCCGACGGGTTCAACTTTCTGAGGTACAACAGAAACAGCACCATCTTCTCAGAAACCTCCCACCATCACAACAATCCAAAGTGGCACTACCAATCAATGACACAATTTTAGAAATAGCAGATGACATATGGCAAATGTCAGCATCAACTCCTGCTATTAACAAGAAAGCAGATAAAAAGTATTTCATTCCCACGAAAAGCATGGAATTCCTTTTCACACATCCACAACCAAATTCTCTCGTTGTGGATGTAGCACAGCAGAGGGCAAAAGCTCCGCAGCTCAAAGCCAACAGCGGAGACAAGGAGAGTAAGCGCCTGGATCTCTTCAGCCAAAAAGTCTACTCTTTCGCGACATTAACCCTACAGATGGCCAATTATAATTTTGATAATTACTCAAAACTGGTTCCACTCACTGAACACTTGCCAGACAACAAACGCGACGTTCTCAAGGCGGTGGTACAAGAAGGGTATGCAGCTTCCAGAACAGCCCTGCACATAGCCCTTGATGCAGCATACACTGCAGCGCAGACCACCGCCACCTCGGTGGTCATGCATTGGACATCATGGCTGCAACAAGCAGCAGTACCAAAGGACCTCCTGTCCAAAGTCAAAGATCTCCCCTTTGACAGGCTTCCTGCAGAAAAGATGGATCAAGTTCTCCATTCGGGCAAGGACTTGAGAATCACACTGAAAACTCTAGGCATGTACACCCCGCCTTACTAGCACAAGAGGTACACACCCTACCAGAGGGAGAGACCGTGCTCGCATCCAATGACCCACTATAGACAGCAGGACCACCAACGCAACAGACAGAGACAGCAGAGAAGGTGACCTCAACCCAAAGCATCTGGCCAGCAAAACACCAGACAGCAAGTTTGATGTCTCAGTCGATGGACTGCGGACCACACCGCTAGACAACCATACTTGCGCCATCTAAGGCCATTCCACCGCCAATGGGACCATATTATCACCGACAGATGAGTCCTACAGCTGATTGCATTAGGTTACACCATCTCCTTCATTTCATTGCCTCCTCCCACCCCTCCCACACCATCCCCTTCATTTCATTGCCTCTTCCCACCCCGTTCCTCTTCAGGGACCCATCTCACAAGCCTCTCTTAAAACAAGAAGCACTTCGTCTCCTGACCATCGGAGCAATAGAGAAGGTGGCAGAGGCTTTTATTCCCACTATTTCTTGACCCGGAAGAAGTCGGGAGGCTAGAGACCCATTCTGGACCTTTGACTTTTAAATCAGTACCTTCGTAAACAACGCTTCAAGATGGTGACCCTGGCGACTATCATACTAGCACTGCACAGCGGAGATTGGTTCACGTCCCCGAATCTACAGGATTCCTACTTTCATGTGGCCATTCACCCGGCCCACAGACGATTCCTAAGTTTCCAAATAGGCAAAGACCATTTCCAGTACAAGGTCCTGCCTTTTGGTCTCTCGTCGGCTCCCAGGGTCTTCTCAAAGACACTGGCAGTAGTCACAGCATACCTGTGAAAACTGGGAATCATTATATTCCCCTATCTCGACGACTGCCTAATGAGAGCACCTTTGTTCACCAAAGCGCTTCACGCCACCAACACCACGAGATGTGTATTTGGGACACTTGGGCTTATATTCAATGTCCCGAAGTCGTTCATGATACCGCAACAATTGATAGAGTTCATTGGCGCACGCCTCAACTCGACCAAGGTGTGTGCGTTCTTACCCATGAACAGATTCCAGGAGATCCAGGACTTAGTACAAGTTTTCTCTGCCAGTCCCAGGACACCTGTACTCACCTGCCTGTAGCTCATGGCCATATGGCGTCCACAAAGTATGTTGTAGCATGCGCAAGATTACGCTTCCGATGTCTTCAGCATTGGATGGCTACGATATATATCCCAAACAGCTAAGACGTCCACAGGAGAGTTACGATACCTTCTCACGTAAGAAAATCATTGCTCTGGTGGACCATCTCTGACAATTGGATGGACAATTGGATTCTCTTTCATCGCCCTCAACCAACAATGCAACTTACCCCCTATGCATCACTCCAAGGTTGGGACACCCATCTGCAGCCAGGCAGCCCAACCCTTTCTCAAACAATCTTGCTTGCCCTCTGAGATGTCGTCTGTATACAGAGCAGAGAAGGAACAATAAGAAGATCAGCATAGCCATTAAGCTTTGATCTGCTTTGACCAGGATATGCAAGTTTCTGACTCTGAGTAACGATTAAGGAAATAAGCTAAGCTCGAGGCTGCAAGAAGTGTCAGCTGGCACCTATGTTGATTCGAACACACAGTCCCAGGAAGAGGAATTTCCCACTGAGAAAACAATGTCCAGTACTTCAAAATTTAATCATCTCAATTCTCTCTTACAAGTGTAAATTAAGTTCACAACTCCCTTGTAACAACTGGTCTCACAGTGGACAGACCAGCATCAATTGGCATTACAGATAAGAAAGAGAAAATACGTGACCCAATGGGTATATAAGATGGGCCCAGCATACACTCACTTTGAGTGTCAATCTACCATTTACCTGCTGGTCGGGTTAGGTGGTTGACCTCCCAAGGTCCACGGGGACGCCCACCTCGTATTTTCGTCTTTCCGAGGAACCCAATTTGAGCTCCAATCACCTACACCTGCTGGCAGGTATTGATTGTCTCCTGAGGTCTGTGGGACGCCCAACCTCGCCCTACTTCTTCCCGAGGGATTGAGAGAAAGACGCTGGCCACGCCAAGTCTGGAACGCAGGGGTGAGAATTGTACCTGCAATGTGTTTTCTTTATGTGTACACTCTAATTGTCTCTCTGTTGTAAGTTAGTTACTTTATTATAGTTTTCTTAAAGTCAAACTGCTTCATTTCTATTGTAAATCACCTTTGGTAAGGTGATTTTGCTATAAACTTTGGGAACAAGTGGGGTGCCCTCATTCACTTATAAAATATATATATCTATATACACTGAACCAAGTTTCTTTATTTCTTTTCTCTTTCTTTCTCCTATAAATAAGCCAGTGCGTGTCAAGCTTCTGACTTGAACCCGTGCTGCTGTACCCGAACCGAACACAAACAAAAGAACTTCAGCCGGTCATAAAGGGACAGATATAGGGAGAGCTTGGGCGTTTGGATTTGTGTCACACCCAGGTGGCAAAATTCAGTTGGGGCGCTTCTCAGTCTCCCCGAGGCTGCCCGCTGCGAAGGAATTATGAAATTCTAGCAGCTGAAATCTGAAGCGTAATAAGCTCTCCCTGTACACTTATTGGGGCGCCTTTCAGCCTCTTCCAGGCTGCCCACTGCAAGGGACCCCGGTCTCAGCAGTTGAAGTCTTGGGTGTATAGTACACACACACACACACCACTCACTGCCCTGACCGTTGGCTGACACCATCTACAGGACCAACAAACCCAAGGACTATGGTACCCCCAAGAATCACTACTACACATCAACCTCCTCGAGTTGCAGGCGGTCTTCAACACATGTCGGTACTTCCTCCCTCTGATCCGTGGTCGAGTTATTTGAGTCCTTACTGACAATACAACCACGGTATACTATGTAACCAGACAGGGAGGAGCCTGTTCTCACTTTGCGCTGAAGCAATACATTTATGGAATTGGTGCAATCAGCACAATATTACGCTCATCGTAGCATACCTCCCTAGTGAACAGAACTCCACCGCTGATGCACTAAGCAGACATTTCTCCACTAACTACAAATGGGAGCTACACCCAGAGGTACTCCATCCCATATTTGATCACTGGGGGTTCCCATCAGTAGATCTCTTTGCCACGCATTGCAACATGAAATGTCCTTGATACTGCTCGAGAGCCAGGATCAGACGGAACTCCATGGGGGACGCCTTCCTATGTGATTGGAGTTACCATCTTCGGTACGCCTTCCCGCCTACTCCCCTCATTCCAAGAGTTTTAGAGAAAATAGCAATCGAGGGAGCCACAATAATACTAATAGCCCCCTTCTGGCCACGACAGACGTGATTCCCTTACCTGTCTCACATGTCGATCCACTCTCCATATCACCTACCCAGATGCTATGACTTGCTGACGCAGAACCACGGGCGATTGATGCATCCTCAACTCGACCATCTTGCTCTGACAGCCTGGTACCTGGCTGGTTCCAACAAACAGAAATGATAGGTTCTCAAGCTGTCAAACACATTCTGCTACATAGCAGAAAACGTAATACATGGACTACTTACCTCCATAAGTGGAGCTGCTTTTCTTCATGGTGTTTTGACACAGCCTTAGATCCATATTCAGCACCTATTCATCACATTTTGTACTATCTTTTATATCGTAAAAATTCTGGCCTCACCTGCTCCTCCCTCAAGGTGCATATAGTGGCTATCACTGCTTTCTGACACTAGGTGGATGGCTATTCTGTGTTTTTCCCATCCAATGACTAAAAGATTTATGAAAGGGTTGGCTAACGTTTTCCCACACCACAGGCAGCCCACGTACCCTTGGAACCTGGAGCTACTTTTGAGTGCCCTAATGCAACCCCCCTTCGAGCCTCTGGTGACGTGCGATCTACACACCGTAACAATTAAAGTCATTTTTCTGTTGGCAATAACCTGAGCCTGAAGGGTCAGGGAGTTGTCTGCCCTCTCAGCGTCACCGCCCTACACAATATTTACCCCTAAAGGAGTGATACTGTGTCCTTAGCCTGCCTTTCTACTGACAGTAAATTTGGAATTCCACATAAATGAACCAATTGTTCTTCCCATGTTCTATCCCAAACTCCACTCCTCAGCACAACAGGCATGCCTCCATACCTTGGATGTCCGTCGAGTGTTGGCGTTCTGCATCGATAGGACAAGATGCTTTCACAAATCTCAGAAGCCTCCTAGTGTCCACAGCAAAGCGCTCTAGGGGCCATCCTTTATTGGCGCAACGTGTTTCCACAATCATCGTCTCCTGTATAAAATGACCTTCCATAATAAGCCTCTTCCTCACACGCCGGAGGCCCGCTCAATGCGAGCGATGGCAACATCAACTGCCTTCATCATAGGGATCCCCTTACAAGACATTTGCAGGTCAGCTACATGGTCCTCCGGCTTCACATTCGCTAAACATTACGCCATACCCAATCTCCTTATAGCCAATACAGCGGTTGCCTCACCTGTCCTCTCCACTGCTGCAGCACAATAGTTCAAAATCCGTCCTCCGTTACACAAGCAACTGTTGTGAATTCACCTACAGTGGAGCACCCATGGTACACTGCTCGAAGAAGAAGTTACTCACCTTGTGCAGTAACGATGGTTCTTCGAGATGCATGGCCCGTGGGTGCCCTCCTCCTCTCTTCAGAGTACCTTGTTTCTTATGTTTTTCAGACCATAGAGGATCAGAAGGAAGTGGCGGGAGTAAGAGCATGCACACACAGGTGGTGCGAAAGGCACGAGATGCCCATTGCGAATGTGCAGTCCGGCAGACTACGGCTGGAAAAGATCTCCGATCTGCGGCACCAGGACAAGGTCGACAACTACAGTGGAGCACCCCTGGGACATGCATCTCAAAGAACCATCGTTACTGCACAAGGTGAGTAACTCCTTCTTCTTAAATATTTCACTAATTCTATCATTTGTCCCCAAAGAGTTTTATGGAAATTATTTGTAGTAGTCACTAAGTTTATGGGCCTTTTGTACAAACTACTTTTTTTTTTTTTTTTTTTGCTTAGTTTAAAAAAAAGCTTGTAGTTAACCATGAGTGCTTTTTAAAATGGAAAAACTGCATGAAGATCCTGCATGGTATTTCCACTTGTCACACAAAATTAGTTATGTTGCATGTTGCTTGATTTATTTTTTAAGGCTGTAGATAAGCTAAATGGTGTGAACGCAAAGTCCGTATGCTTTTTTAGTATTAATCAGTGTATTGTACACTTTCTGATGTTTGTAAAAGTAAATATTTTATTGCATATTTTTCTTTGGTATTGCTTTATTTTTGCAACCTTTTATACTACTTACTATTACTATAACACTGCATTTAAGGAATGTGTTTGGGGGGGAAAAGGGATTTTCATTCTCAGGTCTATCATGAATGAAATTATGTAAATTAGTGGCTTAATACTTAAACTGTTTGATATCTTGTCTTCTTAATATTACTTCACTTATAAGTAATCACTCAAATGTTTGCTTTCATATTCTGCATATAGTGTATTTACACTTCAGTGGTAGATCTTAGACCAAATGGCAGATTCTGAAAATAATAAAAGCAGGAACATCAATTTAAGGTATCTTGCCATCTGTGGGCATGTCTACACTGCAGCATTATTTCAAAATAACAAGGTGAACGTTTACACAGCAAACCCATTATTTTGAAATAATTTTTAAAATAACAGGCTTCTTATTCTGGAATAATAAATCCTCATTTCATGAGGAATAATGCCTATTTCAATATAGCTATTTTGAAAGTGTGTGTGTGTGTGTGTGTGTGTAGATGGTGAAGCTGTGGTTATTTCAGAAGAAGTGGCCTCTAGGGCTTCTCACAGCTGAGCTGGTGGCCGCTCTGCCCACACCCATCATAACTCTATAGTTCCCCTTCCTCTTCAGGCTACCTCTTTCAGGGGAAACTGCTTGTGGCAGAAGGAAGGCCATGCCAGCACTGAGCAATGCAGCAGGACACATTTGTGGTGCCATGGCAGACCCCCATACTTCCAGCGAGCCCTTCATGGCTGCAATTGAGCCAGCAGCCAGCTCCCGAGACCCTGCCCGAGGGTGGAAGAGGCGGGCACCATGCTATTCTGGTGCAGAGATCCTGGATCTTATTGAGGTCTGGGGAGAGGAGGCAAAACTCCAGGATCTCCACACCAGGCACAGGAATGAGGACATCTACAGCCAGATGGCCAACAGCCTGGGCCAAAAGAACCGCATGCACACCCAGGAGCAGGTGTGCATGAAAGTTAAAGAACCCAGGCAGGCCTACACAAAGGCGAGGGAGTGGAGCTCCTGCTCTGGAGTGCAGCAGCTTCACTGCATCCTAGGAGGGAGGCGAGTCAGTCCCTTCCTCTCCCTCCTTGTTCTGGACTCTGGATGGAGACACCCATCATCAGCATCTCAGAGGGTGGGACAGTGGACAAGTAGAAAGAGAAAGTTGAGGAGGAAGATGAGGCCAGCGTGGACATGATGCACCAGCCAGGAGGTCATCCTGTCCCTGAAGCCAGTACCCTCCTCCCAGGACTTCACCCAGGTGAGTGAGGAGACAGTAGAACCTCTCTTCAAATGGCCAAAGGTGTCCTCCACCATGATGCAGACCCTGCTGAGCCTGCCATTGAAACTTTCCTTGGTGGGGTCCGGATGGTGGGGTGTTATGCTTAAAAGAAGCACACGGGATCTTTTCCAGGAGGATAAGGCAACAGGCCACATTTAGTGATAATATAACAAAGTAGCATATGCCTTCACTCTCACATGCACATGCGCGCGCGCACACACACATACACACACACACATCCTGCTGATGGAATAGTTACCTGTCTGTTGCTCGGCCCAACCTATTGGCCAGATAGTTCGGGTGCGAGGAAGGAGCCCGGTTCTTGTCAGTCTGAACTGGTGCTCCACTTGGCAGGACGGGAACCTGAAGAACCATACAAGACACCCCATCCTTTATAGGATTTTCCTTCCATGCAAGTTTATGCATTTTGCCTTGTCAGGCCTTTATCAGTCATTCAGAATCACACTCAATCTTCCTACATGTGTTTATCAGGAAGAAATTGTTCTCAGTCATTTGATATCCATATGCTGCTGACCCACTAACTTCAGGGTTGGTCAATCTGCCTATGTCCAATTTGCGTCTTCAGTGTGCTTTAGCTTAGTTGATAATTATTTGGTGCTTCTGAGTCTCCAGCCCCTCCTCTGACCATTTGAGCATGGAGTGGCCTTCACACATCTCTCCTAAAATATTCTCTCTCTCATTCACACAAACAATACGTTTACAGAATTGCAGCATAGAACAAAGGGGTACTTCTAGTCACTTTAACAAAGTTACAAAGTTTTTCAACATTAAACTTCTTTCTGTCTACTCCAAGGTTTTATCTAATGCTGACATCACTATTCATTACAAATATTCCATCCTTCACTTTAACATCAGAACATGCTAACATCAAACAGAGCTGGAGCTAATTTAACAAAGCTGCCTGGCCTGTCTGAGAACTACATCTTGTATTTAAGTTTAATTCAAACCTTTTGCTATAACATACATTCATTATAACTAACTGACTTATTAGTTACAAAATTTCAGGACTACACGTGTGGGGGTTCATCAGCAAAGGATGGGCTACATCCTCCATGATGCACATTGGTCTGTCCATGTCCACGTCCCTGACCCCGATGGTGCAGTCAGAGGAAAAATGTGCCGGCGTGCATCTTCTATAACAAAGTAGGATTCCTGAAGACATGGGTTGTGCACCTTCCCTGACCATCCGACGCTGTTGGTGAACTTGCCGGAGTGGTCCACGAGGGCCTGCAGGTTGATATAATTGGAGGCCTGGTGGTCAGGAGCCCAGATGGGGATATGGGTGCTGTCAATGGCCCTCTTGTAGTTGGAGAAGTCCATGACAGCAAAGCCAGTGTCTAGGGGGTCCACGTCGCCCAGGATGACAACCCTGAGCAACAGGATGGTGTTGATGGCCCTCACCACCTGTAGAATGATACAAACAGAGAATCACAGGGTTGCCATAGCTCTTGGGATTCCCTGAGCCCAAGCCCCTTCTCACAACAGGAGCAACCCCAACTTACTCTCCATCCCTGGCAGGGCTTTGTGAAGGCAGGACAGCAAAACCTCTAGAGAGGAAGAGTCCCTCCTGTTCCTTAGGGAACCCCATTTCCAGTAGCTCACCACCCTCCTAGAACAGTAGTGAGAGAATCAAACCTGCATGAGCACAGTCCTGATGGTCGATCGCCCCATGTCAAACAGGTTCCCAGTGGAGCAGTAGCTGATCGGCATGGCAAGCTTCCAAAGTGCGATGGCAACTCCCTTCTGGAAGGGGATGGCAGGTCACATGTGGGTGTCCCATCACTAGAGGGCAGGGACGAGCTACTCACACAGCTCCATGAAGGTGTCCTTCTGCAAGCGAAACATGTGGAGTCACTGCTGGTCATCCCACCGCTCCATGACGATCCGGTTCTACCAGGAGGAGCTAGTGTCCCGACACCAGAAGCAGTGGGGAACGGTGTGCTGCGGAGGGTGGGAGAGGTCATGCTGCGTGAGCAGCATGTGGAGAGAGGCGAGGAGCTGCCCCGCAGTGAACTGTGGGTCCTGTTCTGCAAGGCTACGTGGGCAGCCTGCAGTAACTGCGCCGTGAGGTCTAAGAGCCAGCAAGTGCTTTGCAGCAGGTTTGGCTCCATGACTGGAGGGCTGTGGTGTCCACAAGGGCAACCAGAGCACGCAGTGTGGTGTTTGCTGTCCCTCAAGGAGGTAGGCAAAGGTGAAGAGCCTGATACGCGGCTTTAGAGGGGAGACCCTTCAAGCATGACCCTCAGATAGCCTCAGGCAGCAGCTCCAGGAAGTGACTGCTGTCCTGATGCCCTTCCTGGAGTGCTTTTGGGGGGCTGTGACAGGGCGTTTGCCCTGCACTGGACCTTTAAGGGCAAAACCCCAGCCCTGAGCAAGGGCTGAGGCATCCTTGCTAATGAGGGCCCCGCTGGGGGCTACATAATGGACTCCTGGAGGGAGGGGGGAGAACTGATTGCTGTTCAGGACACAGAGCAGTGGGGACCTGACTGCCAGGGAAGCAGAAGCCTTCCTGGAGATAGAGCAGTGCTGGGGGAGGAAGGCAGAGCACAAGAGGGTCTGGCCAGGCAAGCTCCCAGGCTGCAGGGCTTGAAGCAAGGCCTGAAGCTACTGGGGCTGTGAGGGGCAGCCATGGTAGGCAGGGACAGCAGGTCCACACCCCTTTGCCAGTGATGAGTGGCCATTACAGACTGCAGTTTGCCCCTGAGGCAGGGGTTGGATGAAGACTGGCAGTGGGTCACTGAGGCGCAGGGCTGGCTCTAGGCACCAGCAAAAGAAGCAGGTGCTTGGGGTGTCACATTGCCAGGGGTGGCATTCTGGCTCGCAGGAGGAGCAGGGCAGTGGGGAGCCTCCCAGAGGCCACTTTGAGCTGGGAGCCCCATGCCCGGCTGCTCGGAGCCTGCTCCTGGCCCGGGACACTGGGAGGGGAGGTTCGGGCGGGACGCGGGGAGGGCGGGGTGCCTGGCCCCGGGCACTGGGAGGGCAGGACAGGGCGGAGAGGGGCACAGGGCTGGGAGGGCTGGGCGCCTGGCCCCAGCGCAGGGCGGG